TCAAGACACCCAACTCATTTCAAGACACTCGACTCATTTTCAAGACACCCGACTCACTTTTCCCAAAAACATGGGTGTCTCAGACACTCGCTTCATTTGCTATGAGTATGTCGGGTGTCTGTTGAAAAGAGTACTGGGTGCGCAAGTGCACATTCAAAATGAGCTTGTGCAAGGCACACACCCTTATTTTAGGGTGCCGATCACACTCTGAGTGCCGAAAAGGCACACATGATTCGAGTGCACTCATTGTCTGGGTGTACCCTTGCCGTTCTCTAGTACATATGTATATTTATACTTATTTGCATCTGCATATGTGGCTTGCATAGATTTATCTCCTACACCCAGCCTTCCCCATATACAATGTCTCTCTTAATAATTTGGCTTGTATGACACTCAGCCTCTCTTTGTTAGAATAATTTCACTCTATTTGGCTCACATACAAACGTGTGTACGTTGCCGCGATGGACTTGTTAAATTTAACACTTCATCATTTTCAACTTTTTTTTTCTTTTACTCTTTGCTTCGAGATTTCGTCTTGCGTGGAGAACATCGCCTCTGAGAGCGAAGCCTCTCTCGCCAACGTAGACACAAGAACCGTTATCTTTCGTTTTGTGCTCTACTTTCGCACTCTTTTTTCGTTTTTGTGTACTTACACTGGAATTATATTTCAATTCACTAGAATTAAGTTTCACTTAGAAATATATATATATATATATATATATATTTTGCACAAAATAGTAAATTTACCTCGTCGCCAATGTAACGACCCGTGATATCAAATAATAGACCCGCACTTTAGTGTACTTAAATTCGGTTTATTTCATTTCTTTATTAACACACGTCTGTCTTGCTCGCTCACTTATTTAAAACTAAACTCTCGTCTCTCTTGACACTCATCACTCGTGTCCGCTGCTAGCATCGTCGCTCTCCTTGGCGATCTCGCTGCTCTGTGCAGATTCCCACAAAAAGTATTATGTGAAACGAAAAAAAAACTTGTTTTCTTACTTTTTATGAATAAGGGAAGGGAAATACATATATATAGACTCACTTGCACACGTACACATATACACTCATCTATTATGATTTACACTACCCCCGGAACTCAACCACATTCAGCGCATGCGCAACGGGTGCCGTAACATGCTCTTACAAGATGTTTACAAATCAGATGCATGCGGGCGAAGTGACCCTTTATTAGGAGTGAAATTACTTAGCGCTGTCAAACAATGACTACACACACAAATCCACAACCTCTTGTATCCTTTTTATCTATGTTTTGGAATAGAGAGAGACATACTAAAACACACCCCTTTATTACGGTGCGAGCATGGATCTTCCTCATCGGTTCCACATGTCATGTTTCCACACACATCTGGGGTTCCCACTCAACCATACACACGCACACACGTAGACAGAGGCTTACATATAGAGAAATTGACAGTGTGTTTTGAGAAAATTCAACCCCTGACGTTCCCAATCCTCCTAATTAGGGTCAGAAATACATTTCAATATTCCCAAATTATGGATAGGGGGGTCGGAAAACTAATCATGACACAATCGTCACATTTTATTACTTTTTTGAACACGTGCACTGATTTTTTAAAACTATAATTTATGGGTTTATGATTTCTGTGCCAGAATCTATACTGACTAAAAGGGTGAGGGGAATCCTTATCACAGGAGCCGACGGATAATGGGTTTCGGGTTGGGGGAAACCATGTTTTTATCACTAATGTGACAGCATAATAGCCCATAAATCTGTGCCAGAAACAGCGAAAACTAACTACTTTCGTTCGTTTAATATAAACTCATATTAAGTATTCAAAATGTGTGAAAACATTTCTAAAGAATAATCATTACATGAGTATAAACATCTTTGGGTATAAGGAAGAGACCAAGCAAGTAATTGGACCACTTTTTTAATCCGAGATAGAGATGTCATATAAACATGCTGTATTTGGAAGATGGAGGAAATGGACATTACATGTTCATTAAAAATATTTCTAGCTATGTATCATGCAATATAATATAATATATATAGAATATATCTATATTCTATAGACTATTAACAACACAAAAGGTTTCCTTCTGGGTCTTTGAAGATCTTCAAGCTAAATACATATGGAACTTTGTCTAATGCAGCTTGGAAAGATGGCGCAAGGTTAAGGCAAAGGTCATTCAAAACTATTTCTATATGGACGATCTGTTGACAGGCGCCGGATGCGTTGAGAACCTGTAAAGCCTTTGTGATAAAGTTTCTCAGGATTTGCATGAGTTAGTTAGTTTTCAGCTGACTCAGATGTAACTAAAAAACTTGGAGTGGTTTAGTTACCTGGCAAAGATATCTTTCAATTTCGATTGGATGACTCTTTCCTGGATCTTTGTGTTTTTGATATATTGAGCATATTGTGTCCTTTGTTCACAAATTTAAAAATGCATTTACAGGAGCTTTGATTTCGAAAATTAAATTAGACGAGTCGTTACCAATGCAGCTCCTATCGTCGTGGGAAGTCATTAAGGCAACTTCGTTTACACATCATCATACATCCATGCGAGCATGGAAACTACTGAAAATTTAGAAGTGTTATTAGTGACAGTCAAATCAAAAGAAGCTTTTTTCAAGACGAAAACTTTGCCTCGCCTTGAGCTAAGTGCAGATCAACTTTTAGCAGATCATCTTCATGGCTTATGGTTATTAATTAATTGCCCAATTAAAAAGTTGTCCTATGGACTGACTCCGAGATCCCTCCTTCGTCTATTCCGAACCGAGAAGCGGAGATACAAGAGAAAGAAAGAAATTTGGCAGCACGACCTTACGAAAGTAAACCGAGCGGATATAGTGTCTCGAGGATATGACGTTGAAGACATCTTAAGGTCCAGTAAACCCAGCGGATATAGTATCTCGAGTATGTGAATTTAAAGAGCTTTTTAATTTAATCTTGTTCTCTGGGCCATCGTTTTTACTGGACTCAAAAATTCGAGCCAGCTTCAGAAGTTGTGACTATGGAGTTAAGCAAGACGGCGTTTACTCTTAACACCACATAGAGCCTTATGTTCTGGTTAAAAACATAGACTCCTTCTCGTCGCACCTGAAGCTTCTGAGAGTTTTCGTGTGGGTTTTTCAATTTATTCGAAATTGCAAAAGGTTGTACAGCCCTTCGAAAAAAGTATTACACAAAGATCAGCAAATTTTGCGTTTGAGGAGAGTAGAGTTATCCAATCTCATGAATACAGGACGACTTAGGCAAAATTCGAAATCAGGGACCGGTATCGCCGAATGTTCAGTAGTTGAACCGTGCAGGAAAATGAAAAAACAGCGAAAAGCTCGCTCGTTAAATCTTACGTGTCATACATGCACGTTACGAATTGTCATGCTGGTCCTCGAGCTCTTGTAAGACTTCTACGAGTAAAAGTATGGTAAGTCATGCGCTGCTTTCGATGCAAGCAGCAACTCTTGACACAAATAATGGGTCATCAGTCATACTTCGATATTTTGATATTTATCACGATATTACCACTATCGTATACATGACCTTGTATGTGTGTTTTGCGTCCAAAGCGGTCCACTTAGAGTTAGTGTCTGACCTTACCACTGATGCATTTTTATTGGCTTTTCAAAGGTTCGTGAGTTGCCGCGGGATTCCGGAAAAGGTGTGGTGCGACAACGCGAACAACTTCGTCGGCGCAGACCATCACCTGAAAGAGTTCGCATCGTTCATACCGCCCAGTGCACCTCACTTCGGTGGCAAAGAGATGAGCGGGACCAAATAAAGATTTTCGGTCAGGTGGTTTTTTCCGCCCCCTCTCTCTCTCCCTTAACCGTGTCATCATTTCTGTCCATAGAATGAGATAATTCCATTTGAATAAAATAGTTGAAATTCGAACTCCCTATCGTATGTTCGTATACTCCCGTACATGTTCGTCGTTCCGAAATAACACAACTTAAAACCCAGCATTTCGGTTAATATAAACTTATATTGATTATTCAGGATTAATGATATGCGGTGAGTCTCTTGTTTATAGCAAACGTCCACCTCTGTGTATTGTAGATCTTTGATTTCAGAAATTTTAGATCCAGCCGTTCTACCAGGTCCACACACCCTAGGATGCTCCTCGTGACTCTTGTGTCAAGCAGCCCCTGCACCGGGTGGTTTTGCGATCAATACCTCGGCAATCGCTCGGTTTTCCGTCATATCTGCTGCTATTATACCTGTGCAGACCTCTCTTCGTTCCTGTCGGCTTCCGAGCTCGTCATATCCTTATTCCTTATGTCCCCGGATGTAACAGATCAACGAACTTTGCGCTACTTCTCTGCCACGGGAAATGGCATATAAATCCGAAATTCTCCTGTTGCTGCTGGGATACATACGCCACGTAGACCAGGGGCTTCTCCTTCTGTGTTCTCGTGCCATTACACCTTTAGTTGCTCCAGGTTATTTAACAAGATCGGTTGTATTATCCTCGATATCACCCCTCTAATGTTTACTTTAATTCGTTTTATTAGAGGAAGGGGTGGTATTTTACCAAGACGAACGGGCGCATGCGCATTCTACGCATGCAGCGAGCCAATTTCAACGCTGGCGCTTCTTAATTCAATAATTCTGCTTCCAGCGTGTTCGATGGAGTAAGAAAAGACATTCAGCAGGGCTGGATACAGGAGCCACCTTATGGCCAAAAATGACAAACTTGAAAACATCAGTAAAAATCAAAACATATTTCTTGTTTCACTTTATTTCTGTTTGCAACAATTGAAAATTTTGTGTTTTCTTTCCCATGTTTTAAGAAAAATATTCATATTTCGTTTTATTTTTAATTTTTTGTTTTTAAAATCGACTTAATAGATACTTGGTGGAATTGTTTAGAGCACTAGTCGGTACTAACAACTTTTATTTGTGTCAGTGCTTTCGGGATATATAATATATCCCCCTGCATTTAGAGCAATGGTTTCATACAATTGGTAATGCGATGTTTCTTATACCACCGTTTCAAATTCTAAACAATAAACACTTTTACACGTTTCTTTGACTAACTTATGAATTTTCCGCAAAACTGTTGCAATCTATAGTTTTCATCATACACGTTTTGTAAAAAATGGTGGACGAACAGGTTATTAATTTCTATTATTTGCAATTCATGTATTCAATTCATGTATTAATTACATAGTTATCCGGCGCTTTGCGAGATTTACCTGGCAGAGTTCTAAACGCGTCTATTGAGGAACGAGCCCTTATTTTTCGAAATGTATCGTCTGTTTTAAAAAATCCCGGTAAGAAATTTGTATTGTATTACAGAAAAAAACATAAATCAAGTTTGATTAAATATTAATTTGTCCGAAAAGACAGTAAATGTCTTTGGTAAACTAAATATCTAGTGAAAACTATTCCGGACCAGTTCTTACATACAGTGACGGACTAAATTATTGGCACAAAAAGCTTCATGAACTTTTAGGCACGATTTCTCCCCTAAAAACTTAGAAATTTAATTATTTATTAACATTCAATGGTTTCCATGAACAAAATTATTGGCACACTTATTGCAAAACTTAAAAATAAATGAAAATAACTAAAATTAATACTTTGTGGCTAAGCGATTTTGTTTAATAAAGGCTTCAGACCGTCTTGGCATCGAAGAAATGAAATTTTGGATTGTTTCTGCCACTCTTCTTTTAAAGCCACCTTCAGCTCAGCCTTTGTTTTTATTGCGCGTTCTTGAACGGGCCTGTCCAGCATTTCCCACAAATGCTCAATCGGATTGAGGAGGACAGACGTTATGTGCGACCCACATACGCACATCATAGGCCGTATGCTTGTGGTCATTATCATGCTGAAATGAAGTTGATGGTGGCAAGTTCAACTTTTCGGCACTTTTTTTAAATTTCTTTTTAAAATATCTAAATAATATTTTTTGTCCATGATGCCTTCTATAAACTCCAGTTCGCTGACCACTGAAGCGGACATGCAGCCCCACACACCAACGCCTCCACCACCATGTTTCGCCGTCGATACAAGATTATTTTTTTGCAGCTCAGTATTCGGTTTTCTCCAAACGCGTTGCCGGCCATCAGATTGGAAAATTTTAAATTTGCTTTCATCCGAAAATATTACGTTGTTCCAAAAATCCATTGGCTTCTTCAAATATTCTTTCGCATAGTCCAATCGCTTCTTCTGATTCACTTTTGATATAACTGGCTTTCTTTTTAGCAACTCGGCTATTATAATTTGCCTGATGAAGGGTCCTTCGCACCGTTATTGGATGAATTTCTTTTGCAAACTTTTTTTTTTTACTTTTGCTGCGATCTGAGTTTAAGAAATTTTTTAGTCCACCTTCACCATGGGCCTGTTCCCGGGCGGTCAAAGCCTTTGGTCGTCCGCTGTGTTTTTCGCACCCTTAAACGGCTTATGATGTGCGTATGTGGGTCGCACATAACGTCTAACATACTTTGCCGCATCCTCCTCAATACCATTGAGCATTTGTGGCGTTAAAAAACGCGCAATAAAAACAAAGTCCGAGCTGAAGGTGGCTCTAATAGAAGAGTGGCAGAATATTGAGGCAGAAACAATCCAAAATTTCATTTCATCAATGCCAAGACGGTTTTAAGCCTTTTTTAAACAAAATGGTTTAGCTACAAAGTATTAATTTTAGTTATTTTCATTTATTTTTAAGTTTTGCAATAAGTGTGCCAATAATTTTGTTCATGGAAATTCACCTCTTATTTATGTTATTTAATTTTTAAAAATAAAACATTGAAGGTAAAATGTTGAAACAAATTTTCTTGTTATTTTTTTAAAATATATGTATAAATTTTTGTTTATTTAAATATCTAAATTTTAAGGGGAAAAATTGTGCCTAAAAGTTCATGAAGCCTTCTGTGCCAATAATTTAGTTCGCCACTGTAAATACAAATCTAAAAATTAATCGTCGACGATAAATTAAACAAATTCATCATACAGTTAGTCAATAAAGTATTCGTTGCGATGACTAAATGCATATTTTTCTTAATGAAAGAGTAACAACTGGTTCACTTAAGTTTATGTTTTGAATTACACACTATTTTATTATTCAAACTATAACAAAAAATGTTCAAAAAAAAGAAAAACGAGGCCCATGGCTGCGTATTACTGTTAAGTTGTTTAATGGCATCTTTCTTGCATTTCTACCGTGTAAACTATTATATCTGAGTATGATTCGAACGGATTTTGTGAAAACATTCCCAAGGATGTCGAGATGACCGTGTTAATTTTTGAAGTCGATAAGTGGTGGAGTTCTCCTCTTTTATCTAATGGTCAATCCTTTTGGACGGCCAGAACATGGAAGATTTTCCGAGGAATTCCTATATTTTAAACTTTTAATAGTTAAAGGACCTAACATTTCAACATTTCATTAAGGTATTAACAGTTTTTCTCTCATTGTACGTTGCATTTTGTTGCAGATATAGACCGAGAATGACCCCATAAATTTTTTGGATTCCCAGAATTAAGTCTGTAAAAAAGTAACACAACCAAACTAAAAAAAAAATATCGACTCAATAGATCAATAAATAAAGGGTTTTTTTTATTTAAGTTATATACTCAAATTTTTAATAAAACAACGATGGATTATTCGATTGACATACATTTTTTATTAGAAAGATAATCTTGTGGCATTACATTTGAAATATGATTTCGGGCATATGACCACCACGTCTGGCTCGGATGTAGTCCAATCTGGACTTCCAATTTTTGATGACTTATTCTGGCATTTGAGGCCGTATATCGGCAATAACACATCGAATTTTGTCTTCCAAATGGTCAAACGTTTGTGGCTTATCTGAATATACTAATGACTTTACATAGCCCCCCACAGAAAGTAGTCTAGCGGTGTTCCATGGCTGATCGAATTAACTGCTCTGATGGGCGATTTTGTCGACGATAAAATGGACTTAAAGCGCGATACGTATTCCGCACAGAACTATTATTTTCGAAATAAAATGCACTATTTGCCTTTTGTCAGAAAAAGCATGTTGGGTAGCTGATGGTGTCATGTGAGGGCTCATAACATAAATTTCGTCATAAATAGCGAAATAATATTTCAATTTGAAAAACCTTTAGCAAATCGATACATATTGCCAAAAAAATGTTGTACAAGGTCAAACTAATTCACAGTTTTCCGAGGCTTGTGGGCGTTGGAGTAGGCGTGACAGGGCTGTTTCCGATCCTATAAAGTATATATGTTCTTGATCAGTAACAATAGCGAAGTCGATTAAGCCATGTCCGTTCGCCCGTCTGTCCGTATGAACGCTGAGATCTCATGAAATATAAGAGATAGAGGGTTGAGATTTAGCATTAAGATTCTTAAGCAAACTTCCACGCCCACTCTAACGCCTACAAATCACGGAAAACTAAAATTGCTGAAATTTCTTTTGGTCGAAAAGACTGTAAATGTCTTTGGTAACCTAAATATATTCAAATCTAAAAATGAATAGTCGACGAAAACTAAAATCGCTGAAATTTCAGGAACTATTAGAGCTAGAAAGTTGGCATTAAGTAAGTATACTCTTGAGATGCCTGCGCATCTTATGGTGCTACCATTATGGGGGCCACGCCCACTCTAGAAAGGATGATAGTTTGGTAACTATAAGTGATAGAAAGTTGGGATTAAGCGTGTAGTTCCTAATGACGCCAAAAATGCTTAATATTTTTATTTCATCTGGGCACCTCCTAAAAACGCCGAAACCCAAAAATTCAATAATCACAAGAACTATAATGAATAGAAAGTTAGGCTTAAGAATACTTATTTTAGAGATGCCACTGCACGTCGGCGTGAGTTTTCATCTGGCCACACCCAAAGAATGCGGAAAACCAAAAAAGCTTATATCCCGGTAACTGTAGTAGCTAGGGAGTTCGGACAAGACATACATCTTCTTAAGATGACACCGCAGCTCATGCAGCCACGCCACAAATCGCGGAAAACTGTTGCGTTCATAATATTAAAATGTATGTATTCGTTTGACTTTGCATAATATTTCTAGTTTATATCTATCGATTTATCAATAGATTTTTCAAATCGGAACTTTATATCGCTATTTATTAAGAAATGTAGGGTATAAGGCCTCACATAGACAGTGACGGCACCTTCAGTTAGTAAACATGCTTTCTTTGTCCATTTCCACTAGCAAAATATATATTTTGAAATTATATAAAACAGTAACGGGTATCTTATAGTCGCGGCACTCGACTATAGCGTTTCTTTTTGTTTTATTTGTCGTGGGGGAGATTATGGGGTGCCGTCGTTCACTGTAGACTGTAAAAGAGGGGTGCTCAACGCCTATGCTCTATCTTTGGTAAATCGATAGATATTAACAGAAATAAGTTATTCAAAGTCAAACGAAGGCATTCATAATAATATTATAGACGCCATAGTTTTCCGTGGTTTGTGGGCGTTAGAGTGGGCGTGGCCGGATGCAACTTCGTGGCAAGTTGCAGAGGCATCTCTTAAATACGTATTCTAAGTATTTTAAGATCATCCCGAACAGATGGCCTTGTCTCGCTGTTGTCTTGCAAACACAGCGCTAGGCATAAGTATTTTAAAGATAAAACTGGAGCCTTACAAGCTCAGCATTCGTTTAGGTATAGAAATGAATAAAAGGAGAGCCGCTCCTTCTAAACGGCGTTGTACAACCAACACCGACGTTTGGATCTGAATTCGATGACAAGTGCTACAGTAAATGTCCTCCACGTAATGGTGTAGACAATTTGGTTCTTCGAGTAAAAATCCTACAAGTTTACCGAGTGAAGCGTTTCTTTGGCTTTAAACAGCAGCAAGTAAAAATTAACAAGAGTAAACGCTATAGTCGAGTGCCGCGACTATAAGATACCCGTTACTGTTTTACACAATTTTAAAATATTCATTTTGCTAGTGGATATTCACAAGGCGCCACCTATTGTCAGAGAAAGCATGTTGAGTAACTGATAGTGACGTCACTGCCCAAGTGAGGCCTAATAACCTTAATTTCTTCATAAATAGCGAAATAATGTTCCGATTTAAAAAATCTTTGGTAAATCCATAGATATTAACAGAAATAAGTTATATAAGGTTAAACGAAGGCATTCATAATAATATTATAGACGCCACAGCTTTTCGCGTTTTGTGGGCGTTAGAGTGGGCGTGGCAGAATGAAAACTCGTGGAAAGTTGCAGTGGCATCTGTTAAATACGTAAAATAATACGCAAAACTTTGTAATTATTATTGCATTGCATTTTTGGATTTCCGGGTTTTGTTAGGGTGGGC